GGTGGTGATGACTAACTTCCTTCCCTCTAGTTTTACACTGCTAAATTAGGGACGGCTAGCTTTGCGCGAAATTACAAGCAAACTTAAAACATTAGTTGTTTTTATCAATACGTTTTTCTGAAGTATATTTCGCGATGTAAAGTTTATCAAATCATTTAATGTTGTTAAAACATCATAGGCAAATTATTATTGGTGTAATACGAGGATTATTAATTATAGTTAACTTTATAGAATATCATATAAAATGTAACACGCATGTTAGGAACATTTATATGCATATATTTAAACTGTTTTCCTTTGTAAAATTAAATACATATATATATCGAAATACAAGAGAAGTTTCGGGAATTTTTCTTGTCATTCTAATTCTAAAGTCGGACACAAAGTACGCGAAATTAACCAATAAACTTAAAAGTTGAAAAGCTGGTAAAAAAATTACGTTAAAACTCTTTTATGGTTAAATGACTAAATAGTTTCATATATTATTATGCACTATTCTTTCACTTATAACTTAGCACTATGCTTTCTCTGCAAAAAAAAAAAAAAATGACTTTGTTCTTTTCTCTTGCTATTTATTTTTCTTTGCTTTCTTCCTCAGCACCGGGGATCCTACAAACGGGTAAGTAAGATTTTTGATCTGTGACTTCTGTCCTCTTAAAATTGTCCTGTATTTACAGTATTTGGAGTCCATGGGCCACGTAGAAAAACGCTTGTGCATACATGGCGTCCATATGTATAGCTATTGACTATATTCATTACCGTAAATGTGTAATAATTAGCATGCTCTGGTAGTAGGCATTGCTATTAGTAGTAGACAAGCATTTAATATGTTCAATATATAATTTTACAGTACTTAGATAAAATAACGTGGTTTACATAATTCTTGATCTTGTATTACTTAAAATCTAAAAGTAAAACTAAACCATTCTACCTATTATCACCTTCCCGTTTTTGTAAAACTAGTGTAACTATATATATTTTATTACTAATTCACAATCTGTTAAATGTTTGGGCTGCATTAAGTGTAGTTCTGGTAAAGACTGTTTGTGGCGATTTGTAATGTTATTGAATTCAGTTTTGCACAGCATCTCAGAAACTTCTCATTAGATTGATGCATTTACCATTCTAACGAAGTGTTTAAATACATCAGGTATGAAATGATGACAAAACAGTAGCAGAAAAAAACATTAAAATGAACATTATTTCTAGTCAAAGGTTAACGCTAACTTGAAACTGCAACCTAGTTCAAAGCTTGTTGAAACTGGCTTCTTATGTCTTAGTGCAAGCTTACTTCAGTGTATCTAATTCTTGGTGACACCAGCTCCTCACGTCTTGGTGCATGCTTACTTCACTGTATCTACTACTTCTTGGTAAAACCAGGTCCTCATGTCTTGGTGCATGCTTATTTCACTGTATCTAATTCTTGGTGAAACTAGCTCCTCACATCTTGGTGCATGCTTACTTCACTGTATCTAATTCTTGGTGACACCAGCTCCTCACGTCTTGGTGCATGCTTACTTCACTGTATCTAATTCTTGGTGACACCAGCTCCTCACGTCTTGGTGCATGCTTACTTCACTGTATCTACTAGTTCTTGGTAAAACCAGGTCCTCATGTCATGGTGCATGCTTACTTCACTGTATCTAATTCTTGGTGAAACTAGCTCCTCACATCTCGGTGCAATGTTACTTCACTGTATCTACTAGTTCTTGGTAAAACCAGCTCCTCACATCTTGGTGCATGCTTACTTCACTGTATCTAATTCTTGGTGAAACTAGCTCCTCATATCTTGGTGCATGCTTACTTCACTGTATCTACTATTTCTTGGTAAAACCAGGTCCTCACATCTTGGTGCATGCTTACTTCACTGTATCTACTAGTTCTTGGTAAAACCAGGTCCTCACATCTTGGTGCATGCTTACTTCACTGTATCTAATTCTTGCTGAAACCAGCTAATTATGTCTTTTTTGTACTTGCATTTACTACATTTGGTAATAATTCCATATTCTTTTGTATAATCAACTTTCTTTATGATACCGCGCAGTCGAGGTTATTGATAGTTTTGTAAGTAGCATTTCTTCTCGTATGGCATCGAAGTGATAATCCCTATATTTATATTGTTTTAATTATCATTATAAGATCCTTCATTGCAGATTGTCTGTATTATCTTTATTGGCTGCCTCGATATTATAAGATCCAGGTCAGCGAAAAACCAACCCTTGGAGCTACCGTTCGCACTTTTTTTTTAAATATCAAAAATAAACGGGGAAATGCGCAATAGGTGCGGAATTGTCTAAAAAGGCGAGAGCAGTTTTCAGAATTTAAAAATCATTTCTAGTCGCAGAGATATAGGAGAAAACGATCGGTTACCTCCGACTTCCCAGAAAATCAAAGGAAAGATTCGGAATGCTTTGATTTTAGCAAATATTAGAGTTATTTTAGTTCTAATGATGTTATCAATCAATTTTATTGCATAATTAGTGAGAAGAAACATGTTTCTAATTTTCATCCAGTATGTCTTCAATCTCAATGTCCAAATCTCTTCAACACACATTTTCACTCGGTTCTTCCTCTTGGTTCTCTGCTTCTTCATGATTTCTCCTCTGAAGCAAAGCACCTTTTTTTGCAGTAAATCATGAAGTGATTGTCGATCAAGGGACTTTTGCAAGCATACTTTGAGCAACTGTGGAAACCATTGTATTAGACAAAAAGACCAATTGAATAACGTTTTTCTCCATCTTATTCCTATTATCCATTCGTTTTAGATCTTCAAGCAATCCCTGCAACATTTCTGGATCAGATGGACACACTAACTTTAAAACTCCATTACGCAGAAGACGACACACTTGTAAGTCTCTCAGTCGTGTTTCCTCAGACTCAACTAGTTTTTCTCATTTGATATCATTCTTTGGAAAAACACTGAGTGAGATCTGCTCTATGTCCAAGATCGCAAAAATGTTCTCCAATTTGTCAAAATTGGTCAATACACTACCGAAAGAACCTATGCCATCATTAGAAGACGATTAATCATCTGAGCTGCCATCTAATCCATCAATGAGCCTCTCTCGATTAGCTCTGATTGTCTGGTCATCCTCTTCTTTTTTACTGGCCTTTGGATCTTTTGTACTATTACACGTATACTTTAAGGGATAACATGGCCATTTTTTACTGTACATATAGTTGGAGGATCACAATGTAAACACATTTCCCTGTTTTTGCAGCTTACTTTCTTTTTGTATTTATGTTATTTACATGGTCCTGGCCTTTTCGTAATTTCGGTCGTACTTGCGCCGCGCAAAAATAAAAAACTGATTTCGAAACAGCTGAATTTTTTACATACGGCAGTGTTATTCGTTTTTTATGGTATTTTTCTCAACGATTCTCAAACTCTAATTTTTTCCAGCAAAAAAAATGTAATTTTGGATGGGTTTCTGATTGACTGGGATCATAAGATATTCTTTTCAGAACATTCTGTATCCTCCTCCATTGTTCACACAAACCTGACGTGGTATTTACTTTTATTTCACTATATACGGTGTTTCGTTGTTCGAAAAGGGGTTTTTTCTAATTATTTCTAGAGACAGAAAAGTTCTAAGCACTGTGAAACCAGCTTCTTGTGTCTTGGTGCATGCTAACATCATTGTATCTAGTTCTTGGTGAAACCAGTTTCTTATGTCTTGATGCATGCTTACGTTACTGTATCTAATTCGTGATAAAAACTAGCTCCTTATTTCTTGGTGTATGCTTACTTCACTGTATCTAATTATTGCTGAAACCAGCTCCTTATGTCTTGATGCATGCTTACGTTACTGTATCTAATTCGTGATAAAACTAGCTCCTTATTTCTTGGTGTATGCTTACTTCACTGTATCTAATTATTGCTGAAACCAGCTCCTTATGTTTTGGTGCATGCTTACTTCACTGTATCTAATTCCTGGTGAAACCAGCTCCTCATGTCTTGGTGCATGCTTACTTCACTGTATCTAATTCTTGGGGAAAGCAGCTCCTTATGTTTTGGTGCATGCTTACTTCACTGTATCTAATTCTTGGTGAAACCAGCTCCTTATGTTTTGGTGCATGCTTACTTCATTGTATCTAAACCAAGAATAACTCTACAGTTTATGAATAAGCCATAAAGCTTATTACGTTCTTGTTCTCATTTATATTCAGCTGACCGTAGTCGTAAATCTATTCACAAAATCTAAACTATCATACTACATAGTCTCTCCAACGTTATTACAACTGGACTAAAACAGATACATAATCGCTTTAGCAACAAGAAGCTTTAAAAACGCACAAGCACAGTTTAAGGTTAATAAACATGCACCCAAAACAGGGCATACTAATATATAACTGTTGGTAAGAATGAACGGGCTCTGAAAATAGCCGTAGAAGTATTGTTTATGATGAATGTTCCATGCATTACGCAAGTGGGATGTTTATAAACCTTTACAATATCATTATATGTTTCATCATTGCCACCACATTTAAATGTCTATGGTTTCTATTATAAATGATATCTGTATGTAAACACTTCAATGCAAACGTTGTTGTCATTCTAAAAAAAACAACAACACTAAAACAACATTTGCTTCTTTGGTTAACAAACGCGAAAATGTTTCAACATTTTTCTCACAACATTTTCAAATTTCAAGATTTCTGGCAAATAACGCGTTATCATATGTACACGATTATAAGTTATTATTAACCATAATTTCTCTTTGAAATTATTAAATAATATTTCTTACTTTTCTCAAAAGTTATTGCTATACACGTTACCAGGCGAAAGGAGTCACCGTGGTAGCAACTCCAAAAATAATTGCCCTCATCAAAGTGTTTGTTATGTTACATAATGACAAATAGATTCATGTTCATCAACTCCAAAAATAATTGCCCTCATCAAAGTGTTTGTTATGTTACATAATGACAAATAGATTCATGTTCATCAACTCCAAAAATAATTGCCCTCATCAAAGTGTTTGTTATGTTACATAATGACAAATAGATTCATGTTCATCTAACTTATGCATTACATACGGGGACTTTCACAACTTTTAGTTGCGCAAATAAATATCAATACGTTCAACCATTAAAGATACGAACAAGGGATTAGTTCAAGAGAGCATTAAAGTTAATATTCAATCCATAATATTTTAATCGACATTACATGAAAAACATCTGCATGAGTTTTATTGATTTTTATGTTCGTTTCATGCCTTATAGCTTGATGCTACAGAACCATCTGTGAGATAGAAATTGTTATTAGCGATGCTGAAAATATCTATTACACCTATATTCTACATATGCTGCTAAAACTTTGCCTTCATTTCCAGAAATTATTATATTCTTCTCCAAATCTTGAACTATAAAACAAGAAATATACCTTTCTTTACTTATTGTAAATTTGTTTTTATTATTTTAAACCAAAAATTTAAGACTGTTGTATTACAAATAAAAATATATCAATATCTTATAGGCTTGTTAGCACTAAACCTTTTATTGAAATTTTTCTATACCTATTAAACAGTCTTTTTTTATCTTAAGCTAAATTCAATGTTGTTGAACAAATATTTACTTACCTTGCTCAAGCACTTGAAAAAATTCAGATATGCATATTTTAACTGAAAATTTAAGATACTTAAATTATGAGTTCAAAACGAACATGTTTCCCACTCAAAAACACAAAAGTCAATTAACAATATAGCGTTTATTTTCCTACTCAAAAATACAAAAGTCGATTAAAAATATACAATACAATTAACAATATAGCGTTTATTTTTCTACTCAAAAATACAAAAGTCGATTAAAAATATACAATACAATTAACAATATAGCGTTTATTTTTCTACTCAAAAATACAAAAGTCGATTAAAAATTTACAATACAATTAACAATATAGCGTTTATTTGCCTACTCAAAAATACAAAAGTCAATTAAAAATATACAATACAATTAACAATAAGCATATGCTTTGGAGAAAGGGAAAGAAAAATCAATAGTACAAAAGCCCCACTAGAAGCATTCCAGCGTAATCACTAATATAAATTAAACACAATAACTGAAGCTAGCTATAAAAGAAGATTGTGGGATATTAAAGGCATAAAGTAAATGTGACTGATTACAATAACCATAGATTTTCATTCAATTTCCGTAAATCTAAAGTTTACCTAATTTTTTGCAACATATAAATAACCAGGCGTTTATAAATGCCCCTTGTTTTTAACACGATATCGTGTTTCCATATTTTTCTCTTCCTATCCTAATACATTTATTTGGTCTTTGAAATAATTTTTGCACTACATATGTTTGTGTTTGTATATGCATATATATATATATATATAGATGCACATATATTTTGTAGGATGTATTAACATTATCTTTAATTTCTCCTTAAGCTTCTTCTTGAATGTTTATTTTATATCGGTTACACTATAACTTAATCTATCTTCAATGTCTACAAGTAATGTTACTTTCTTCCGGCTGTATTTGTTTACAACTTCCATGAAAAATTGCAAATATTACTTTATATATGTATATATCTATATATAAGTTACATGAATACATATTGCAGATAAGCAACTGCTATCATTTAGAGACCCATAATCTGAAACGTAGCTAAAATAAACACCACAATTTTTTAATTGCGTAATCCGAACTTCTTACTTTGACATAACCAAAAATGACTTACAATGCTAAAATCAGGAGTTCGATCCCCGCGGTAGACACAACAGATAGCCTAACGTGGCTTTGCTCTAACAAAACAAACAGAATATGAATAATGAATCAAAATACTTTATTGTATTATGATTGGGGTCTCGTGTCTTTATATTATTTCATGCAATTTCCGGTAACTACATTTTCTAGAAAGATGAAGTTATTTTTTTTTATAAAGATTTATTGATATTCAGATGAGCTTTGAGACTTTTATTTGTTCTCAAAAGTAAACCACCTGGTGGACAAGTATTAACACTTAATTAGCTGTAACGCTAGAACTTCAATAGTGTTATTTCCAGTCTCAATTTTGTGGTTAGAGATTGAAATTTCTCAAATAAATAAAGGAAGTTGGTAAAATTTCTCAAATCAGTTTGAACAGGACTATAATTATTATATTTTCAGGCTTAACTTATTCAATCAGCTATTGAAATAGCTCAGACATGTATCATGATTTGTAAGTTTTAGTAACGGAATCTTTATTTTCAATTTTTCTTTTTCTTCGGTCGACATTTTCTTGTTACGCTAATATTTTGCGATTTTTGGAACATACGTCTGTTCCTCATAATTGACATTTCTATAGCATTTAAATAGAAAAAAACATCCCATGTATCATAATCTCAATTACTTGCTCTAGTTGTCTTTAATTTTCTTTAATTTCTTTTTTTCTTAATTGTTGTAAATTATTTGTTTACAAATTTAGACCATTTGAAAAGTTTACCTCTTTATAAAAAGTATCTAGTGTATTATTTCTTGTTTATTCTTCTGCAGGAAAGGAGTAGAGAAGTGTGAGCTATGGTCAACCAACACCACTCAACAGATAGACTTAGCACTAAATATATTTTTTATGGTCTACTTTTTTATACGTGTGAGTACCATTTTAATTATAAATATAAATAGCCTCTATTTATTAACATAAATGTACAATTAGAGGTATAATCAGTATGAACTTACTTTTATTTAGGTTCATTATGTATCTAAATTGTTATATTATTTTATCGTCTTGTCTTATCGGTATGTATGGATGGGTGCGGTTGAGAATTAGCGTGCCCGGGTTGTGAATCCAAAGGTTCATGATTCGTATCTCGTTGTCCCTAAACGTGCTCCCCACAGTTTTGGGCCTTGGATGCGGTATAAGAGTGATGGTCAAATCCCTATATTTGGTCAGACAAGATTTGGCGGTGGGTGCCGTTGAGTAGCTTCCTTACTTCTAGGTTATCAGTTAAAAAATAAGGATGGTTTTGCACCTGTAGCTCTTGTGTAGCTTTGCGTGAACATTGTAATTCAAATAAACTAATTATCGACATATTAGCGTAAACTATACCTGTTATATAACCTGTTTTGAAGCGTGGGAACTAAATATAGCTTTCATGTTAAATTGGTTCGCTGAAATACTATCAAACATATACTATTTACTCATAGTTCCAAGCAGAGAGAGCTCTTCTATTTACTTTTATTTATTTATCTTATTTTTTTTGTTATTTTTGCGATAACATTAATACAAAGAGATTGACATGTTTGTTTTTTTAAATACAAAATTTGTTAACTTTATTACACAGTTATTTTTTAATCAAGCGTTGTCGTACGTATCCTCTAGCTGGAATATTGCTAATTTTAATGGACGCATGAGGCTAGTAATATAAGCTTAAATTCATGAGCTTAACATACTGTTCGAATCAAGACGATCGTAATATATTCATTGATTTCATCTTATTATATTTCTTCAACTTTGTTTTTTATCCTTCTTATTCATAATATTTCAATTTGTAATGCCTTGTCTTTGCTGGAAAGTTCAGTGAATTGGTTCAGGACTTATTTTCATTAATTTGATGTATACAGCTTGCAATATGGGATGCTATCATCGTTTATAAAAATAGTTTAAGTTAAATAATCAATTTATTATTTTAAATACGTAATATACGACGGTTATTAAATGTGGGCTCAATATCATATTTACATCCTGGTCACGATTTAATTTGCGGCTAGTTTAAAGTCTATGGGCTTTGGCGCACGTGTATGAAAATTTCATTAGTCATTAGCCATTATTACTCAAGCTTGATATACAGACAATGATTTATTTATGCATTTTGTGCAATAATGTACGTGCTTCGTAATGAATATATGTAATTCTATGAAACAATGATACGATATTCGAGATAATTGTCTGTCGACTAATAATAAGACCATATAAGTTTCTTTTATCTGAAACATCATTATTTCTAACTTGATAATGTTTCTTAAGGCCTGAACCATTCATACGAGTTTAATCAAGAACTATACAATGACCTGTCAATTTTCAGAGCGGTATTTTTACGTTTCTAATAATGTATTGGCGTTTGGTTTTATGGAACGGTAATGACTTTGAAGTATAAATATTCTATAGTTTATATAAAAAAACTCATTGTCTAGCTTTAGAAAAGTTACTTCTGATCAACAGAACCTACTCTATAGATCAGAACTACAAAGTAGTCTATAAATTAATGAAGCCAGTTCTATATGACAAATTGAGAAGTACGTAATACTATAAATCAATAACACCAACAACAAAAAAAACAACACTAAAACCTATTATAGTTAGAATGCATTGATTCGTCAACTGGATAACTTAATTTTTGTTTCCTTTTCATAACATTTCTTTCACTTTTAATACAGATATGGATTTTGTTTATATATATATATATATATATATAAACATTCGGCATTTTGTATATATTTTTGTGTATGTGTAACTCACATGTTATCAGGTACCTTGTAACCAACTAACAAAATCGTAAACCTACCATAAATTTCATGCATATAAATAGCTTAGAAAATAGCTTATTTTAGGGTTAAGTCTTTATGGAAGTTTTGTACACACACGAACTATGAACGACGGGCTATAAAAGCAGAATTGTGTCTATAGTATTGAAGTATGAAAAGAATACGAGAATCTTGTGAAATATAACTTGTAGTTCAGAACACGTCTCTGCAGTGACTGAATTTTTTTTTCTTTGATTTATTATATATTATTAACCAAGAAAGGCCTACCGTTTCATCAAGTGAGTGCTTTACTTTTGTTACAGGATTGTATTCGATTTCCTTTTCAATATAAAAGTTTCCAGTTGGGAAGCGTTTCTTTGAAGATTTGGCGTTATTATGCATGAACTTGTTTCATTTATTCTTCACAATACTAGCTTTATGGATACTTCTGTGTAAGGGTTAGTGTCACTGGTTCGACCATTGTTTGTTTTTTTACCAACACTTTTCCTTGGATGAATATTTTTATTATGTAGATTCCCTAAACACTCACGTAATCGTACATAATTTATTACGTTTTACAAAGTCGTGGCTTGACTTTTTTGTAAAATTTTGTTTGTTTGTTTGAAGTTAAGCACAAAGCAACACAATGGGCTATCCGTGCTCTGCCCGGTTTCTAGCATTCTAAGTCCGCAGACATGCCGCTGTACCACTGAGGGCAATAATGTTTATAATTAAGCACAAAACTACACAACAGGTTAACTGTGCTCTGCCCACCCGGGATATCAAAACCCGGTTTCTAGCGCTCTAAGTCCAAAGACATACTGATGTGCCACTGGGGGGAGGGAGGCTAGTGAAATTTTTAAAACACTAACGAGAATACTAATAGCCTTTTTTTGAAAGTAGTGGTTACCAATTAATGCACTTCTTATTTCAACTGATAATTTACTGATATCTTCAGGGAAGTTGTGAAGATACTTAGTGTTATGATATCGGCAGCAAATTCGATCCTGGGTTTCTATATTAGAAAACTAGTGTGCTGTCCACTCACGTGAGATCTCTAGCTGACTTGTTGCCAGCTTACAGTTTGCACATAGGTCTCTAGCTGCCTTGTTGCAAGCTTACAGTTTGCACATAGGTCTCTAGCTGCCTTGTTGCAAGCTTACAGTTTGCACATAGGTCTTTAGCAGCCTTGTTGCAAGCTTACAGTTTGCACATAGGTCTTTAGCAGCCTTGTTACAGGTTTACTGTGTGCACATATGTCTCTAGCAGCCTTGTTGCAGGTTTACTGTGTGCACATAGGTCTCTAGCTGCCTTGTTGCAAGCTTACTGTGTGCACATAAGTCTTTAGCAGCCTTGTTGCAAGTTTACTGTGTGAACATAGGTCTCTAGCAGCCTTGTTGCAAGTTTACTGTGTAGCTGTTATTGTTGTTGGTTGACCTCAAAGCTACAATATGGGCTACCTACGCCAATCTGTTCACCGTAGGGAGTCGACCCCCGATTGTAGCGCTATAACTCCAAGAACTAAGCACTGACCCATCAAGGGACTATTTTAAAAAGCTGTGCAGTGATTGTGTCACTAAGGTTTCGTAAAACTAAATTTAACTTGAATCGCTATCTTAAACCTTTAAATTCACTAAGTTAATTCCGATCACTAATTATATGAAACTCTGTAATTTTTTGGAGGGTGGAGTATCTTTTATAAACTAATATGCTGATATATCTAAGTTAATTATATAAGTTTTTGTTATTTTCACTTCAGAGCTTACAAGATATATCTGGCTAATTTCAATCAAGTTTGTAATTTCTTTTCAGTTTATAGCTGCAAGCGATAAACTATGGTTCATGCTTGAATTATATTCTTTTGTGGATTACTTCACCATTCCACCGTCCTTTGTCTCTATTTATCTCGATCGCACGTGGATAGGTGAGTCAACCATTTCACGGTATGAGACTTGTACTGGCCGATCTAATGCTCGCACATGTGAATAGGTGAGTCAAATCGTTCACGATATGAGACTTCCACCTTCTGGCCTAACGATTGCACATAAAACTGGCGAGTCAACCATTTCACGGTATGAGACTTGTACTGGCCGATCTAATGCTCGCACATGTGAATAGGTGAGTCAAATCGTTCACGATATGAGACTTCCACCTTCTGGCCTAACGATTGCACGTAAAACTGGTGAGTCAAATCTTTCACAGTATGATACTTCTTTGTTCTGGCTGATCTAATGCTCTCACATGTGTGTAGGTGAGTCACATCTTTCACGATATGAGACTTCAACCTTCTGACTGATCTAACGATTGCACGTAAAACAAGTGAGTAAACTCTTTCACGGTATGATAATTCCTTGTTCTGGCTGATCTAATACTCGCACATGTGAATGGGTGAGTCAAATCGTTTATGACATGAGACTTCCATTTTCCGACTGACCTAACGATTGCACGTAAAATAGGTAAATCAACCCTTTCATGATATGAGACTTTTTTTGTTCTGGCTGATCTAACGATCGCACACGTGAATAGGTGAGTCGCATCATTTACGTTATATTTTCTTATTCTGGCTGATTGAACTAGGCTCTCTGTTCATGTTGTCCACTTTTTTTAATGTGAAAGCTTTTTCGGTTTTTACGACGGTTTTTCTTACTCACAGTTGCTTCGTTCTCTATTTTATAGATACATTTCTTAAACTAATAACTTATATTTATGTTTGTTGTCTATCGTAGCTTTATTAAACAACATTTTTCTTCCTAATAATTGCATAAAATATGTCAAATAAAGTAAGAGGACAAGAAGAAAAATTTCCTATATGTATACCTCAATGCTCAGTTTTTTAATTAGTTTCATTTTTTTAGAATTAAACCACGTTTTAATTTCTAGTGGTTTGGATTTCTAACTATTTTTTATGTTTAGGCCTAAGGTTCTTAAGAGCGTTGCGGCTGATGTCGGTGCCTGATATTCTGCAATACTTAAACGTACTCAAGACGAGTAGTTCCATACGGCTGGCTCAGTTGATTTCCATAGTTATCAGCGTGTGGTTAACGGCCGCGGGAATAATCCACCTGGTGAGTGCTCGTATATGTCAGTAAAATGTCACTGGAACCTAATTTCTGTAAAATATCTGAATATTCTCTGCTTATACAAATACACATTGAAACTGCTCAAAATTAACTTTTATAAACATTAGAAAACATGGGATTTCGTTTCTTTGTTTTTAATATATTTCACTCTTGTTATTTGATGTTTTGCATTTGAACGAATGTTCTCCTTTAATGTCTAAATGCTTATAATGAGATCGTACTTGATTGAAAATACAAAATTCCTAAAATTGGCAGTTTTATTTATAGTTCTGACTTTATCTTGCTCTGGTCAACATAGTTTCATTAGCACTGTTTAACATGAACATGAATTATATTTTATCACAGTAATGAAATATAATGACTGCTTTAACAAGCCTAAAAGGCTCTTTTCCGCTGTTCTCGGAAGGAGGTTAACGTTTAGATAAAGATACAACATAAACATGTACATCCAACTATTTTACCTAACAGTCCTATTAAGCGTATTTTATAAATTTCTGAAAAGTATAGAGGTTAAAGGTACTGTGGTACTTGACATGCCATTAAAATGTTTGTTAATCATAAGTAATTGGTTAAAAACTTTTTGACCTAAATTTTACATCAGCATTATGGACTTATAAAATGTGCATCAAATTTTATTGTTTTGATAATATTGTTAATTTTTTTAAAGTTTTGATTGAGTTGATAACAATTTTAAGGGTTATTGAGGAAATGTTTGTACTAAACTTTAATTTAGCTTAGAATGTGTTTCCATAACGTTATCATAAGCTTAACACGTAATCTACTTATATCAGATTTCCTTGACAACATGACGTTATCGTATATTTATGACGTAATATTAAGACACACTTTGAACTTATCTTCTACTAGTTAAGTTGTAAATTTAAACCTCTTATCATTTGACGTCATCCCAATCATATCAAGTAATAACTTTGACACGTTAACTCAACGTGACTTTCTTGCCAACCATATATGATTAATTGATACTTGTGATGTCTTTACAAAAATGTTGTACTTTAGACATAAGCCTATTTTGCAGCTTATAAATAAAATTAGCCTGCTGCTAAGTGAAATTTTGTTACATCAAATCGGATTTATTTGTTTTCTGTCCTTTTTTTTTGTATCGAATCCGCATCCCACCAAACATGCTCGCCCTTTCAGCCGTGGGGGCGTTATAATGTGACGGTCAATCCCACT